CCCCCAAGTTTGGAGACACATGCATCTACATTGGATTACACCTACTTAGAAGGGTGATGACTATCCTTCATGACGGATACCTTTCTGGGTTTTGGTTTCACTCAGAAGCAAGTCTCTTTGAATTCAGTGGGGTTACTTTCACATGATTGAATATAGGTTTGCCACATTGATAGTAAAGCAGTAATCTATTTTATTTAAATACCTTCACATCTAATGTAGTACACAATTGCTAGATTTCCTAAGGATTGTTGTACCCTTGAGGGTAACTTAGTACCTAGTGTACAAAACATCTTCTTTCAGTGCTATTTGCAGGCTTGTCAGACAGAAATTGCTTCATAGAAACATGGAATTACATTAAGCACTTGCAGCTTAATGCAAGTGGAATTTAAGTAGGCAGACTATTTGCTAAAACTAGGTTCAGTAATAGACTTAAAATTCTGTAGGATTTTATAGATAAATGGCTAAAGTTGTCCTTTAATGGGAAGGGCTCTTGCAACCATTGTGGCCCCCACATCTTAGGCTGTATGTCTGCCATTTCAGAGAACTATGACTTTCATTTTGTGTATAAGAATCCTTAGTTATCAAAAATGTACTTCCTTGAAAAGTGTGTATGACTTGTCTACATTTGCATTCTGCCTTCCTCATGGGAACATTCAGTAATGATTATGTGAGGTTAGATTAGGCTGAAAGTCGAAGTGGACCAAGGCCTAACTGGAGATTTGAGTCTTTTTTCCCTTGCTAGTACCAGCTTTCTTAATTACTGTACCATAGCAGCATTGTGGTTAAGCTTGATCATTATTATGAAACAAGTGGGACCTGAAGAAAAAGTTGGATGTATTCTCATTTTTTAAAGCAGAAGTACTTTGGTTCAAGAATCCTGGCAAAAGGCCATGCCCTCCTCCAGGATATAATCTGCAAATATGTCAAACATCTCAGCCACCATCAGTTTACTTTTCCAACTGCCACTCATGGTTATTGAACATTCTTAGTCCTCTTTGGGGCTGTTTGTGTATGCTTTCATACCCTTAGGTTGGTGTTATAACACATGTATGTTTACTTCTAAAGGTTTTAGGGGTTTTTCAGGCATATCATTTTTTTGCTTTCTTCAAGCATTCTCATTTTTTGACTGCGTACCCTCCCATGCAGACAACAAAAACACTGTGGACATAATCTACTTTAACTTTAGCAAAGCTTTCAACATAATGCTCCATGACATCCTGATAAGCAAGCTAGCAAAAAGTGGACTAGATAGGAAACTATTCGATGAGTCCAAAATTGGCTGCTTAATCAGACACAAAGAGTACTCATCAATAGCACCCTTTCAAAGTGGGGAGGGGTAACAAGTAGGCTGCCACAGGATGAAGTCTTTGACCCAGTGCTCTTCCACATTTTTATGAATGATCCAGATGAAGAAGTATAGGGAATAATAATCAGATTTGCAGATGATACAAAACTGGGTGGAACATCTAATACCATGGAAGACTGAAAGCAGATCCAGGGTGGTCTTTATAAACTTGAACACTAGGCTGAAAGGAACAAAATGAAATTCAAATGCCAAGTCCTGCACCTAGGAAAAAGAAACCAAATGTATTGATACAAGAGGGAGAATATGCAGCTAAACAGAACTGAAAAAGAAAAAAGACCTTGGGGTTACTGTTGACAACAGGCTAAATATGAGCCAACAATGTACTGCTGATGCAAAAAGGGCAAGTGCTATTTTATGCTGCATTATTAGAGGAATTACTTCCAAATTATGAATGTAATAGTTTCTCTATGCTTTTCATTAGTCAGACCTCATCTAGAATACTGTGCCCAGTATGCAAACAAAGCTGAAAAGGGTCCAGAGAAGGTCAACAAAAATGATCCAGGGTTTAAAAACATTGCCCTGTGAGGAGAGACTGAAAGAACAGGGTATGTTCAGCCTTGAGAATGCCGGGGTGGGGACATGATATCCCTCTATAAGTACCTCAAAGGCTGTCACAAAGAGGGTAGTTCTTGATATATGTTGCAAATAATGTCATAAAAAGTCCCCAAACATTTTATAAAATGAAATTCTATTTAGGCCTATTTGGGCATAATTTAATATGATAACCATGAAATTGAGGCTTGTGTGTAGTGATTGATTACTTCCATTCCTTCTTTGGTGGCAAAGGATGATTTGCCCTTTTGTCTAAACAAACCAGAATTGCAAGCCACAATATGCTCCTGGTATATGTATAGATGATCTGTACTAGTTTCAGATGAAATGCACATGGTGGGCATGTCGTGAGCGGAGCCGGCTGGTGCCAGAGGTTAGACTAGATGGCCGGGAAGACCCCTTCTGACTTGCTCTGTTTCTATGTTTATGAAATCACAAACTATGATTTTCCACTAAACCAGGAATAGGTGTATTCATTCTCGCCATATATGGCATAAGTGAGAAGCTGTTGAGGATGTAATGACACAATTTGGGATAATGTCTGATTACCTTTTAAATGTTTCCAATTACATCTTAAGCATACCAGTTCACTTGGTTTTACTCTAATCAGATCTGTACGGTAGAAAACACGGACTCTTGGTTCACCTTACATTTGGTACTTGTACATCATGTTCTCCAGTTATGATCTATGTCATAGGATAAAAAGAAAAAAGTTTCTTGATAGAATGAATTATTCAAATATCAAAAGCTGTGAGGTGGACCAAACAGGAATCTAGGTTCCTGCCGGTTGAACAATCTCTGAAAATGTTATGCAAATTCTGATGTTGCTTCTGCACATTTTTGTTTTGGTGTGCCAGTCTTGGTGATCTAAGTATCAAATGATTTCTTCTAAAGAAAGTTGGTGCTAAAATAAATATCTGAGCACTTAGGTACGTAGTCTACTTGTATTATATGAGAGAGTGGAATCTGTGGAAAATTTAAAGATTGATAACTTTTTAAATTTAATCATTTAAAATTAATGATAAAAATCCTAACATAAAAGTGTAATAAAGTTATTGTTTTGGTTAATCTCAGAGCAATATTTATGCAATTGTTTATCCAGAAATTATTATAGTACACCAGTACATTTTAAACCAATTCTATCCATGGTTACTCTAAAGTCAGAAGTATCTATTGTTTTAATACTGTTGCCTAGGATTGTGTTTTACAGAATCTTTACAAGCATAGAGATATTATACAGAAAAGAGCTTTCACAGTTCCTTATATTTCACAATTTTATATCGTTTTTTAAAAAAATGTTTTTAAAAGAATACAGTTACAAAATACATCATAAAATTAAAAAAAGAAACAGCACAAGATACACTAACCCCCCCCTACATGTATATTAAATGCACAGAGTGCACCCTTCTACCAAGGCCATGGCTGTATAATGCTTTTTCCCCCTTCATTTCTTCTTCTTTGCTTCTAGCTTTAACTTTCTGCTCTTTCAGGAACAGCCCCTTTCATGCAAAATTGCGTTGCATCAGCTGAAGATTTAATATCCTTTCCTTTTATTAATACATAGTCAATAACAAACCCCATATGTTTTCACATATGGAAATAGTTACCATTTTTGTCCACACCCCCAACACAACTTAGAATATTTATCATCCAGATAGAATAGTTTTACTGGTGTCATGAACCATTTCCATACTAATTTATAAATGTTTTCCTTAATTCTAATTGAGATACTTTTTAATATTCTCTTCCCACCTTTCTTCCTTATCTCTAACCTTCCCTAAGTTAATTTCCCATGAAATTTTAAAAAGATCATAGATGTCTCCCCTGTCTAATAAAATCTTAAATAAATAAAATTCATTTCTTAAGCTGTTTCCCAAATTTCTGGAAATCCTCTAATTTCTGTGGCTGGAATTATTGATGAGATTGTCTGCATAAATTCTTCCCTGCATTCCTCCCAAACTCTCACCATATTTTTACAAAAGAGATTTTTTACAGTCGTCTTATCATCCTGTTTAAGAAAAAGACTTTTAAAAGATCCCTCAATTTCCTGTTGTTCTATCTCTGCTCATATTATCAAGTTGCAATATGATATTTGTTATATAGTTTATATGTATATGATATTTGGTATATAGTTTGGTATAATTTATATACTGAAGGAAGTAACTCAGTGATTGAGAAACAGTGAGGCAAACAACCAAGCCATGAAGCCTGTCTGAAGGAATGTGGAGGGGAGAAAAAGATAATTGGCTTGAAAGAAAGTTTGTTACTTCCTATCTCATCCTTCCAGTAGTTTTATGAGACAGGGGGTCGTAGGGCAAGGTGAAGTCAGAGAGGGGTAACTAGTGAACTTGTAGTTATAAGCACGCAGGCATAATAGGATGATGAATATTAACCTACACACCTTGAATAGACAATAGACTAATTCTAATGCACATGTGATGTATGTAGATGTATGTAGTGGGATGAGATGGGAGATATGAAGTAGGCAGACGGAAGGACTGTAACCTCCTAGTACCTTACCCAATGAGGGGAAGGGAGAGGACTGTGGCAGTCGGGTTGAGGGGTAAAAGCAGCTGTTTTGTGTGTTTGTACTTGGGAGAGATTCTGATAGAGTGGGCTCTCCCTGTCTATTGAAATAAACGAAGGAAATGCCTCACTTTGTTGGTAGTCTTGCTTATTCAACTTGAGAAGTATTTTCGCAGATTTTGGTATAACATATACCAAATAATCTTATACCAAAAGTACTGTTGCACAATTAAGTTGTAAATTTGTAATTCCATATCAACAGTCTTGATTCAACATACATAAGCAATATATCACTAGGGCAGAGTAGCTGCTAACCAGATTAAAATTAACTAAATGTATGTTTACTGATTCATCTCTTGTTTAGCTGACTGATAAGGTTGTTTTTACCTGTATATGAGAATGATGTATATATGTTGTATTTTTTCTGAGACTAGAGCATTTATCCGTTTCTGTATTGTTTCTGCTAACATGCCAATTTTATGGTAAGAAATTATTATAATATACTATCCTGATATATAATCATATTTTAATCTAAGTTCTCCTCTTTCTTTTTTAGATTGGGGCATATGATCAGCAAATATGGGAAAAATCTGTAGAACAAAGAGAAATCAAGGTAAAGATTATTATTGAAGTTCAATAATAGGTGTAGAAGTTCTATTCGGTTTGGTGTAGAAGTCCTACGCAGAGGATTCTGGGGTACACTGTCCTTTTATACAGAGTATGAGGAAGGCTTTCTAGCATTAGATCTCTCCTATGATAGCTATGTGCTCTAAAATATGTCCAATACTGACTTTCCAATGTATATTTCATTTTTATATCACCCAATAGCCGAGGCTGCTAGGCAAATAAGAAAAGTTAAAAACACACAATAAGAAAGAAAGGGGGAAATGTTAACATAAGACAATAAAACCACAGCAATTGCAGTGGTGCAGGATAGATTGCAATATTAAAATGAAAGTTGAAAAGTTACCTGTTATAAATATACCTGAGAAAATAAAAAAGAGTTTCATCAGATGCTGAAAAGAATGCAGAGTAGGTGCCAGGTGCACTTCTATGGGGAGCTCATTCCATAGCTGGGGTGGCACAGCCAAAAAGTCCCTTCTCCTGGTAGCCACCCTCTTACTTCCTTTACCACGGGCTTCCAGTTGAGGACCCCTGAAGTTGATGTTATGGTCTGGATAGGTACACATATGAGACAAGGTGTTCCTTCAGGTAACCTGCTGTTTAGGGCTTTGAATGTCAATACTAGCACTTTGAATTGGCCCCAGATTTCAGCTGGGAGCCAGTGCAGGTGGAAGAGTACTGGTGTAATATGTTCATGGTTGATGGTATCGGAAGCTGCTGAGAGTTTCAGGAAAATAAACAGGGTTGCACTCCTTCTGTCTTTCTCCCAGCAATGGTCACAGGGGGACCAAAGCAGTATCTATTCCAAAACCAGGCCTGAAGCCTGATTGAAATGGCTCTAGATAATATGTTTGATTCAACAGTGCCTGGAGCTGTTCAGCCACCACTTCCTCTAGTACATTGCCCAGGAAGGGGATGTTGGACACTGGCCTATTGTTTACACCATTCCCTCTCTCAAGGATGTGCTTACACACCCCCTGCATCCACGTGCAAACCCCTTCCTTAGTTTTTGGTAATAAGCCATTACAGACAAGGGTTGAGTGGTGGGCTGGACTTGACCAAGCACCTTGTCCACATCCTGAAGCCTCACAATATATTTTAAGGAATGTGAGTGAGGGTAGGTAAATTTATGGGCAATTTGTTTTTCATTATTTATCTTATTGAGGAACCTCAATAAACTCTGAAACTTTGAAAACCACCAATGGTTTGGAATTTACATTAGTAAACCACAATACAGATACAATACAATAGTACTCCTTTTGAAAATGAAGTATAGTTGCATAAAGTTTTTTTTAAATAAGGTATATGCCACGTGTGAATTCATAACTCTTTTGTGTATTGTATGGTAATAGGAATACTGCAGATCTTGTGTTCTTACACATCTACAGTATTTTTGGTGATTTAATAGCAGTTCTTGTCCTTTTGCTGAAATAAAATGCTCACACAAGAGTTGGGTGGGACAGAGGGGACAGGTATGCTCTGATACCAGTATTCCTTCCTATTATGGTGGATTGGTTAGAGCTTTTGTGTCACTTGAGTCTAAATATTTTGCTAGTTTTTGTACACTAGATTTTTTCCAGGAGTTCAATATCGTAATAAAATATTGGTGCTTGTACTAAACTGTGCTTGCTTATCATACTACCCCTTTCTTTTTATATACATTTTGTCAGCAATCACTGATGTTCACATGGTTACTTTTATAGTTCCAGTTTACTTTTCCTCCTTTTTCATCCTGTCATTGTTTTGAACAGTTTATTAAATTGGTAAGTACTTGATGATGAAAATGTATGTTAAGTGAAACAGCTTATGTAGATTAAATTTGTCTCTGCATCATAATATTACTAACAAAATCCCATGAATATCCAACGAACTAGGAGCTATTTCAAAAGCATATGCTTTAGCATACTTTCTGTTTGCAGATGTAAGCTCCAGTTCTATACAATCTGTTTGGGGTTAAATCCTATTGTAATCCGTGGGGCTTATTTTTGAGTAGACATGCATAGGATTGCATTTTTAGTTCACTTTCAGGATCCATACTCTTTCCGAAGAACAAAAATGAAATTTTAGCAAAGAAACACCTTCTTTCTTCTTCTTCTTGCTGTTAGTCGTGTTGTCGTGTCCGACCCATCGCGACCCCATGGACAACATTCCTCCAGGCCTTTCTGTCCTCCACCATCCCCCGGAGTCCACCTAAGCTCATGCCAACTGCTTCATTGACTCCATCTAGCCACCTCATTCTCTGCCGTCCCCTTCTTCTTTTGCCATCAATTGTTCCCGGCATTAGGCTCTTCTGCAGTGAGTCCTTCCTTCTCATTAGATGGCCAAAGTATTTGAGTTTCATCTTCAGTATCTGGCCTTCTAAAGAGCAGTCAGGGTTGATCTCCTCTAGGACTAACCAGTTTGATCACCTTGCAGTCCAAGGGACTCACAGGAGTCTTCTCCAGCACCACAATTCAAAGGCCTCAATTCTTCAGCACTCAGCCTTCCTTATGGTCCAACTTTCACAGCCATACATTGCAACTGGGAAAACCATAGCCTTGACTAAATGCACTTTTGCTGGCAAGGTGATGTCTCTGCTTTTTAGTATGCTATCTAGATTTGCCATAGCTTTCCTCCCCGAGAGCAAGCGTCTTTTAATTTCTTGACTGCAGTCCCTGTCTGCGGTGATGTTGGAGACCAGGAAAATAAAATCTGTCACTACCTCCATTTCTTCCCCATCTATTTGCCAGGAAGTGAGAGGACCGGATGCCATGATCTTAGTTTTCTTAATGTTGAGTTTCAAGCCAACTATTGCACTCTCCTCCTTCACCCGCATCAAGAAGCTCTTTAGTTCCTCTTCACTTTCTGCCATTAGAGTGGTATCATCTGCATATCTGAGGTTGTTGATATTTCTCCCAGCAATCTTAATTACAACTTGTGATTCATCTAGCCCCACCTTTCGCATGATGTGCTCTGTATGTAAGTTAAATAGGCAGGGCGACAGTATACAGCCTTGCTCCTTTCTCAATTTTGAACCAATCAGTGGCTCCGTGTCCAGTTCTCTCTGTTGCTTCTTGACCCACACATAGGTTTCTCAAGAGACAAATAAGATGGTCTAGTCCTCCCATCTCTTTAAGAATTTGCCACAATTTGTTGTGATCCACACAATCAAAGGCTTTAGCATAGTCAATGAAGCAGAAGTAGATGTTTTTCTGGAACTCCCTAGCTTTCTCCATGATCCAGCGTATGTTGATCTCTAGTTCCTCTCCCTCTTCGAAATCCTGCCTGTACTGCTGGTAGTTCTCAGTCCACATACTGCTGGGGCCTAGCTTGTAGGATGTTGAGCATAACATTGCTAGCATGTGAAGTGAGTGCAATGGTGCGATAGTTTGAACATTCTTTGGCATTGCCCTTCTTTGGGATCTTAATGTAAACTGACCTTTTCCAATCCTGTGGCCACTGTTGAGTTTTCCAAGTTTGCTGGCATAGTGAGTGTAGCACTTTTACTGCATCGTCTTTTAAGATTTTGAATAGCTCAGCTGGAATACTGTCACCTCCACTAGCTTTGTTGTTGCTCAGACTTGCTAAGGCCCATTTGACTTCACATTCCAGGATGTCTGACTCGAGGTCGGTCTCCAATTTTCTTGAAGAGATCTCTGGTCCTCCCTATTCTATTGTTTTCTTCTATTTCTTTGCACTGTTCATTTAAGAAGGCATTCTTATCTCTTCTAGCTATTCTCTGGAATTCTGTAATCAATTGGGTGTATCTTTCTCTTTCTCCCTTGCCTTTTACTTCCCTTCTTTCCTCAGCATACCTGATGTTCATCTGAATTAAATTCACCCATTCCTGTCCATTTTAGTTCACTGATTCCTAAGATGTCCATGTTCAGTCTTGTCATCTCTTGTTTGACCACGTCCAGCTTGCCTTGATTCATGGATCTTACATTCCAGGTTCCTGTGGAGTATAAATCTTGACAGCATCGAACTCTCCTTTCACCACCAGATACATCTGCAACTGAGTGTCCTTTCAGCTTTGACCCAGTCACTTCATTCTTTCTGGCGCTACTAGTACTAGCCCTCTGCTCTTCTTCAGTAGCACATTGGACACCTTCTGACCTGAGGGGCTTATCTTCTGGCGTCATATCGTTTTGTCTTTTGGTGGGGTTTTCATGGCAAAGATACTGGAGTGGGTTTCCATTTCCTTCTCCAGTGGATCATTTTTTGTCAGAGCTCTCTGCTATGACCTGTCTGTCTTGGGTGGCCCTGCACGGCATAGCTTATAGCTTCTTTGAGCTACACAAGCCCCTTTGCCACAACAAGGTAGACTGTAAAATCTTCAGGAGTTGCTCCTACATTTTGGACATGTATTATGATTTTGAGATCATATTTTAATATATTGGTCATATATTCAACTTCCAAAAGTGTACCATTTCATTTTTCAAGAGCGAAATGGAGGGTAGATATTCAATTTCAGCTCTGAAAGTGTTGCACTGGCCAACAAAAAAGTTCACTTCAACATCTGTTGGCTTGAGTGCAAAGAGCAGCCGTTTGGGGCCTTATGACCTGTTTCACAAAATAATAAAATGAGTTAGAAGTCCTTATTAGTGGACAGTAAGACACCCTTGTAACTTGGTGCTTGCCTCTAACAGTTGTCTCTGTGCAAGCAACCATATAACAAATGTACCTGCCTGCTCATTTGTTCTGTTGTTTCCTGCCTGCATGCACTGTTTTCAGCATGAGGTTGGCAGCCACTACTGTACTGTGTTGTGCCAGCTGAGAAAGAACAGCTGGGCAACATGACTGTTGTGTGAGAATTTTCTCTTCTGGCAGAGAGTGAAAAATCAAGGAATGAAACAAGAGTGACAAAAGCAATGTGCCTGCTGCATGTGTATTTATTTTGTCCTATTGCAGAAGAAAGAACACATGGTAGTAGTAGGAGGGAGAAGGGTCAGTGGGCAACTGGAGTAGAGGATGGACAAGCAATTTATCTCAATATTTGTTAGCAAGTAT